AACTATTTCGTGCATTTATTGATCGATTGTCGAAGTTGTCGTCAAGACTTTCCTCGCCTCGCCAACGCTGCTTTCCTTGCTGCAAAGAAGGAATTAAATAAATTCAATACAGTCTCTCTAACACGCAACAAAACCCGCATGTACAATAACGAGAGGAGTTTCTCTCGAAGGGTCAGAGGTTTGAGTCCTGGTGGAGGACTACACTTTGCTTTGGATCGCAACTCGTAACAAATGTTTGAAAAGTTTCCTTGAAAAATTTCCACTTTGTCACGTATATACCAGATAACTAGCGAGCTTGCGTATGACGTTCAGGGCATCGGCAAACAGAAACAAACGGAGTTCTGATTCCACTTTCTTTTCTCTCTCTTGCCACGCGCCCAGTAGGAAAAACATTACATTCAAAGTCGTACTCCCAGTGACTGCAAATATTTTCACCAGGATGCACGAATGGCTGAATTTAAAAGGCAACAAGTTCAAATTTGGGACCTCTGCCATTGCCGTGAACTTATTCACTTTTTTGAGATTTTTATTTTAAAGGAGACATAACTTTCACTCTAGAAACGCCAATGGGTTTGTCGATGACAAAATAGTCCCACCTTTTTCTTTCTATTTACTTGATATGGTTCCTCTGCCAAGCCATCTTCTGAGAGAGTGAAGTCTACAATCTCAACAAAACGCTGAAAAAAAAAAAAAATGAAGTTTTCAAAGCGTAAGTAACATATACAACGAAAGAAGCAAAAACAACAACAACGAATAAAGCCAATTGGGAATTGATTAGCATAAAAACCTATGCTCTGGTTATAATACCTCGTTTCTTTCATTCGTTCCATTATCCTTCTGTTTTTTCCGTTTCCTTTTACGATCTGAATACGGCGAATCATCGACATTCCTTCTTTGGTAGATGTCTGTGTGAAGTGATACTATACAGGAAGCAAGATAAAGATAATATATTATGAGGTTCACGAAACGATAACAAATAATAAGGAACTGCGAAAAGAAAAGGAAAGCAATAATAATAAAGTTCTGTATCAATGAACTAGTTCTACACGGTCAAACTTGGCCTACGAACAGAGTAGCACTGGCGCTAAGATCCCGCTTTGTATTTTTTGCACGCGCGACGAGCTCGTCTCAGCATCGAGGCGAACATAAACAAAGGTTGGAACAAATCTTCATTCACGAACCTCTCTCACCCGAGAGTAGAATCCATATCCGTGGTAATGTTCATTTAATAATAGTAATAATAATGATAATGATACTGGTAATAAAAATAATTACAAATGAGGTATTAATCCTTTTAATTCAAAAATTTCAAACGAATCTTGTTTCTATGTATTCTATTTTACACATCTGTTGAAACGTTTGGCACTTTTTTTTTCACCTCTGAAATTTCATGGCTGGGATGCGACGAATTCTTCGCCAAACTCGAACAACATCAGGAGACGCCAAGTTACCAAGCAACGTAAAGAAAAAAACTGCGGGCTCAACAAAACCACATATCGCTACTAACTAGTACTTACTCTCCCCGCTACGTCATAGAACGAAACCCACCTTTTCTGCCATCAAGATTTTCGCCAAGCTTTCTCACTTTTTCCGGCGGAGGTTGGAACGCAATTTTGTCAATGTCGAAGTTTTGCTGTCCAGGTTGATCACAGAACCTATCAGAGAAGGTTTGATGATGCATGTTTTCCCGTGACTTACTACTCTCTTTGTTTCCGTCGTAATTTATTTTATTGAGCGATGAAGACGTGTAACAGCCATCATAGCAAACTACAAAAGGCAAAGGAAGTTCTTGTCTTCTAGTCGCATTTTCCTCCTGACATTCCTGAAAGATGACACAAAAGAGAAAGAGAAATGTAAGGTAGAGTCCGATCATGTCACAAGCACGCAGTCTTGCGCGAGTCTACAGCGGGAGTTTTAGCGTCCCACTCACGGGTGCTTTTCCTTCATTATGAAATAATTCGAAGATGATAATAATAATATGAAAAGTTAAATCCTACTTGCATTTCGATTGGTTCTTATATTAACATCTAATGGAGGACAGGGGTATTCTTGATTGCAATACGTTATATTTAGTTTTTGCTACCCGCGCAGTACTGGGTTAGTTTGCATATTATGGTATATATCATGTGCTCTAGTTTTTTGTTTCCGTTTGGTTTTTGTCACGTTTCCATTAAGTCTACAAAGCTTTCAAACCAGATCATACGAGTCAGATTAAACAATTTGAAACACATGAAACGGATCAACAGATCAAGTCGAACATTTATTCTACAGGTATAACTGACGTCACCATGAACAAATTCTGCTTTTTATTCTATAAATCAGTGACACACGAGGCTGCGCCTCATGTACTACCTATTTGTTCTTACTACATTTTGATGTCATCCGTGATTTATTACTGAACAGATGCACGCCAGCATGGAATCGATTTGTTAATTTGCCTTATGGATGATAAGTGATAATGAGATTATAACAGGCAAAAAAAGAAATCGCATGGTTGGAACCCGTGCACATAGCTATCAACCAATTGAGTAACAAAGCAACATGTTCAAAACGATGAAAATTTTTTCTTTTCCTCATTACAGTAATTTCCTTAGTTTTAGGGCTCCATTAGTAACTTTTTCACGGCTATAAGATACTCACATGTCCATAGTGACCCTGATCGCCACAGTTATAACAAGATACAGCCCTCGGAGGTGATAAAGGTCTTTCAGGACGAATGATTGGACCCACTTTTATCTGGAATTGAACCATACCACGCAGTCAAAGTCAATAACACACAATTGCATTTTTAACGAGAAAAGTTGTTGGGAAAGGCGTAGCAACTCGGCTAATGACTCCTGACTGTAACAACCACAAAAACTAAAGAAGTCTAGCATTAACATCGTTTCATGAGAGCGAGTGACAAGGATAATTATGTATGAGGTAAGAGGGCCGGTACAAAAAATGTTCCGATCGAAGTCACAATATGCATTTCATCATAAATTATGACTGTCGGGCTTTCGTTTCTCCCCTTCTTCTTTCAGCGCGCAGATCACGGGGCCGTGTGGCTTTTTACTCCCCTGCTCACGTCATCGCGTTTGGCCCCCATAAGGGAATTCCCAGTTTATCGTTTTTCAATGTATGCGTGCGCGGGGTCGTATGGGTCATATAAGAAACTTTGTTACTTACTGTAAGATGGTACTGTCTCCAGCGATCAGGACAATCCTATTAACAACAAACAAACGAGTATAAAACAAAAATAAAGTCTACCTTTTGCTTGAGAGACATTTTGTATTAATCAATTTTATCACGATCAAAGCTATCATCATCAAAACCTCAAGAAGCCAAACCAAAACCCAAAGTAATTACAACAGCCAATCACAAGAAAGGAAAATACCTTCAGGAGCCAATGAGAAGTCAAAGTAAAGACAACCAAACTGCCTAAAGTGCGAGAAAACGCGGGCGACGAAGTTGTGATTGGAGTTAGTTTCGCATTTGATTGGTTGAGAGAGTGACACGAGTTTTCTGAACCAATCACAGGGCAGTAAAGCAAAACCAAAGCGATCACGGGTTACTTTCGAACACTCAATTGTAAAAGGACTTTATTAGCGGAACTGGTATATTGAACTTACCATTGCATAATGACCTAGCACATGACATCGATTACAGCGATCAAATGGCCGTAGTCTGGGCTTCCTGCAATTCTAAATGACAAATACAGTGTAACGTGCAACCGTCAGACACAATTTTTTACTATGGCTTCTTTATAACTGTGCTGCATAATTTCACACAAAGACTTTTTTTTTCATCCTTTTCGCTAGCGTGGGAAGAAGAAAAATTCTGAGACCCCTTGAAGCCGTGAATCGAACCTCAATCCTCCCATGCTGTGCCACTGAGCTATAGAACACTCCATCGTTAGATAGACTATTACAAGCTACAGAACACGCCATCGTTAGATAGACTATTACAAGCTACAGAACACTCCATCGTTAGATAGACTATTACAAGCTACAGAACACGCCATCGTTAGATAGACTATTACAAGCTACAGAACACTCCATCGTTAGATAGACTATTACAAGCTACAGAACACTCCATCGTTAGATAGACTATTACAAGCTACAGAACACTCCATCGTTAGATAGACTATTACAAGCTACAGAACACTCCATCGTTAGATAGACTATTACAAGCTACAGAACACTCCATCGTTAGATAGACTATTACAAGCTACAGAACACTCCATCGTTAGATAGACTATTACAAGCTACAGAACACTCCATCGTTAGATAGACTATTACAAGCTACAGAACA